GAGTGTTTTGCCTATGTTCTCCTCTAGGAGTTTTATAGTTTCTGGTCTTACATTTAGATGTTTAATCCATTTTGAGTTTATTTTTGTGTATGGTGTTAGAAAGTGTTCTAGTTTCATTCTTTTACAGGTGGTTGACCAGTTTTCCCAGCACCACTTGTTAAAGAGGTTGTCTTTTTTCCATTGTATATCCTTGCCTCCTTTGTCGAAGATAAGGTGACCATAGGTTCGTGAAAATTGCAGAAGAAGGTAAACTTCCAAACTCATTCTATGAGGCCACCATCACCCTAATTCCAAAACCAGACAAAGATGCCACAAAAAAAGAAAACTACAGGCCAATATCACTGATGAACATAGATGCAAAAATCCTTAACAACATTCTAGCAAACAGAATCCAACAACATATTAAAAAAATCATACATCATGACCAAGTGGGCTTTATCTCAGGAATGCAAGGATTCTTTAATATCCGAAAATCAATCAATGTAATACACCACATTAACAAATTGAAAGATAAAAACCATATGATTATCTCAATAGATGCAGAGAAAGCCTTTGACAAAATTCAACATCCATTTATGATTAAAACTCTCCAGAAAGCAGGAATAGAAGGAACATACCTCAACATAATAAAAGCTATATATGACAAACCCACAGCAAGCATCACCCTCAATGGTGAAAAATTGAAAGCATTTCCCCTGAAATCAGGAACAAGACAAGGGTGCCCACTCTCACCACTACTATTCAACATAGTTTTGGAAGTGTTGGCCACAGCAATCAGGGCAGAAAAAGAAGTAAAAGGAATCCAGATAGGAAAAGAAGAAGTGAAACTCTCTCTGTTTGCAGATGACATGATTCTCTACATAGAAAACCCTAAAGACTCTACCAGAAAATTACTAGAGCTAATCAATGAATAAAGTAAAGTTGCAGGATATAAAATTAACACACAGAAATCTCTTGCATTCCTATACACTAACAATGAGAAAACAGAAAGAGAAATTAAAGAAACAATACCATTCACCATTGCAACAAAAAGAATAAAATACTTAGGAGTATATCTACCTAAAGAAACAAAAGACCTATACATAGAAAACTATAAAACACTGATGAAAGAAATCAAAGAGGACACAAACAGATGGAGAAATATACCGTGTTCATGGATTGGAAGAATCAATATTGTCAAAATGGCTATACTACCCAAAGCAATCTATAGATTCAATGCAATCCCTATCAAGCTACCAACAGTATTTTTCACAGAACTAGAACAAATAATTTCACAATTTGTATGGAAATACAAAAAACCTCGAATAGCCAAAGTAATCCTGAGAAAGAAGAATGGAACTGGAGGAATCAATCTGCCTGACTTCAGACTCTACTACAAAGCCACAGTCATCAAGACAGTATGGTACTGGCACAAAGACAGAAATATAGATCAATGGAACAGAATAGAAAGCCCAGAGATAAATCCACGAACCTATGGTCACCTTATCTTCGACTATACTTTCAAGACTCATTTCTGTACTTTGTCACTAGAGAAGTCCCTCTGAATGTGTGGACTACCCAAAACCACAAAGAGGAGGCATAGCAGTCTCTCCTGAATATGAAGCCAGCTCTTGGTGTTGCTTCTGCAACTGCCATTAGTCCTTGATGATTGTTCTCTTCCTTTGGGAGAGTAAGAGGGAAAGAATGTTGTCTGAGCTGAAATAAAACAAACAGTATGGAATTCACACAAAATAGACACATAGATCAATGGAGCAGAATAGATGTCCCAGAAATAGACTCAAGCATGTATGGTCAATTAACTTATAACAAAGAAGCCAAGATTATACAGTGGAGAAGGGACAGTCTCTTCAATAAATGGTGTTGGGAGAATTGGACAGCCACATGCAAAAAAAAAAGGAAGAAACTGGAGCACTATTTTACATCATACACAAAAATCAACTCAAAGTACATCAAAGATTTGAACATAAGACCTGAGACCATAAAACTAAAAGAAAACACAGATAGTAAACTCCTTAACACTGGTCTTGGCAATGAGCTTTTTAACTCGACACCAAAGCAAAGGCAACAAAATCAAGAAGAAATAAATTAGTGGGATTACATCAAACTAAAATAGTTCTGCACAGGAAAGGAAACCAACAAAATGAAAAGACAAGCTACTAAATGGAAAAAAAAATTGCAAGTCATATATCTGATTAGAGGTTAGTATCCAAAATATATAAAGACAAGAACTCAAATAACTCAGTAACAAAAAGCCAATCTGATTAAATAATGAGTAGAGAATTTGAACAGACATTTTTTCGAAAAAGGCATACATGTGGCCAACAAGTACATGTAAAGGTTCTCTGTACCACTAATCATCAGGAAAATGCAAATCAAAGTCATAATGAGGTATCACCTCATACCTTTTTGAATGATTATTATAAAAAAAAAACAAAAAATAAGAAGTGCTGGCAAAGATGTGGAGAAAAGGAACCCTTGCATACTGTTGGTGGGACTGTAAATATATGCAGCCACTATGGTAAACACTATCAATGTCCCTCATAAAGTTAAAATTAGAACTATACAATATGATCCAGCAGCTCCCCTTCTGGGTATTTATCCAGAGAATAACTAGAAAAGATATTTGCACTCCTCTGTTCATTGCAATATTATGTACAATAGCCAAGCTGTGGAAGCAACCTAAATGTCCTCTGGCAGATAAATGGATAAAGAAGTAGTGTATAAAAAAGAATGAAATCTTGCTATTTGTGATAACTTAGATGGACCTTGAGGATATTATCCTAAATAAAATAAGTCAAAGACAAATACCATATGATATCATTTATATGTGGAATCTAAAACCAAATAAACAAAATCAAAACAATAAAACAAACAAAAACCAAGTTCATGGGTACAGAGAATATATTGGTGGTTGCTAGAGGCAGGGGTGGGTGAAGGTGGGTGAAATAGATGAAAGGGGTTAACAAGTACAAACCTCTAGCAATAAGATAATTAAGTGATGGGGATATAATATACAGCATGGTGACTATAGTTAATAATTCTGTACTGTATATTCAAAATTGTTTAAAACTTTTCATCACTTTTCATCACAAGAACAAAAATTGTAAAACTATGTATGATGATTAATATTAACTGAACTTACCATGATGATCATTTTATAATATATATGAATACTCAATCATTATGTTGTACACCTGAAACTAATGTCAATTATATCTAAATTTTAGAAGAATTCTATCAAAGCTTGATATTAGAATAAATGTAGATACTTATGGTTTAAGAATATTTAAATCATGCCTAGCTTTTGCTGAGACTATTACATAGACTAGAAGTTTCCCTTCTCAGAATGATTTACAGGATTCTTGGCCAGTTTGTTGATTTTCTGAGTGCTCTCTTCTTTTTCACATCTTACATATCTTTTTTTGAAACTCATTTTTTTTCTGCAAGTGTATAAATAATAAAAGCTTAGATGAAACTTAAGCTAGAAAATTTTAGTCCTTTTCAGAAGTTCTAGTGAAATATTTACTTTCTTTTTTACAATTTAGTTGGTTTGAAGGAGTAAGGCCATAGGGTGGTAAGAACTGTATTAGGAAACAAGTACTGGTTGAAATTGCAATATGGGGTTTTTTTTGTAGAATTTAACGTACTTTATTATAAATAATCAAAAGTTTGTCTACTGCCTTGCATGTTTACCACTAGCAGGATAATGTTATTTTCTTCTTGTTTTTTTAAATTTTGATATATAAATATCATTGGTTCATGAATAATAAGAATTATGATTCTTTATTCAAAGCTTTTTTTATAAATACCTAAGATGGAACCAGTTCAATCCAAACTTTAATTGTATACCTATTATGTGTGTAAAAATGTGCCACATGTTTGATTTATAAGTGTTCAGACAAAAGTACATGTATTCCAAGTCCAAGATTGTTAACTTTTTAAAAAATAGGATGTAAGGAGAAAAGTCATTCATTTAAAAAGCTTTTAACATAATGTAGAAACACTTGAGTCACAAATAGATGATCTTATGCACCTAGACAAGCATAAGCACTAAATGAAGAAGGAAATATTCAGTAGGTTATGTTGAATACTTTGTTGGACAGGTCACAGTTCTCATGAGCAGAGCAGGAAACACCACAGTAGATTTAGTGTTATCATATATATTCTCACTGTTATTGGGAAAAATTGTTTTAATTGTGAAAATGGGTATGAATTCTTCTAAGGCTTTATTAGAAGAAAACAATGCAAATATTTGTTGAGCAAAAGTGGCTATATATGAATTATCTCTGACCACAAAGAAGTTTTCAGTGTAGTTGAAGAGTCAAGACATGCATATGTGAAACCATTATAAGCATAATGGAATAAGAACCTACCCTAATTTTTAAGGTAAGCTGTCTTTGTCCTGGAAGTTTTCATGGAAGAAATGGGGATTTGAGATGTCTAGTGAAGAATTCATAGACTTCTTCATGTGAAGATGAAATTTCTCTTTTACAATAGAACCTACTGTGGTTATTATTTGGCACGCTTGTTGTAAGCAATTAATTTCATTGTAGCATGCTAGGGATGATGATCACAGGTTTTGAAATCAAGCTACCTGGACCCAAATTCGGATTCCACCACTTATTAGCTACATCACTGTAAAATGGGGATAATAGTATCTTTCTTATAGAGTTGTTAGTATTAAAGAGAATAATGCATCTACATTTCATGGGAATAGCATGAGATCTGGAATCTGACAGACCTTGGTTCGCATCCCAATTCTGCTACTTACCAGAGACCTTAGGCACTTGAGTTTCTCCAAAATTTCAATTTTCTCATTTCTAAATGGAGATGATAAAGCCTAACTCAAAGGGCTGTTTTGATGATTAAATGAAGCAATTTATGTAAAGCACTTAGCAGAATACCTGACATCCAGTAAAAGCTCTATGAATAATTTTATGTTGTTATATAATCCAAATCATGTAGAGACTTCAGTTTTATCTTTTTATTCATATTTTTAGGGTGAACCTGGTCTGCCTGGATACCCAGGGAACCCTGGTATCAAAGGTTCTATGGGAGAAACTGGTTTGCCTGGATTACCAGGGACCCCTGGAGCAAAAGGACAACCAGGCCTTCCTGGATTTCCTGGTAATACTACTTTTCTTAAATGCTTCTTTCTCTCCTTCCTTATTTACTCTAATCTATGTCATAAAGCAACGTCTTAGTTGACAGACCTCTGTTCTATTTCCCAACCAGATACTGACCAGCAATGCAATCTCGGACTCTCTCTTTTACTTTTCTATTTTTGCCCAAATTTCTTTCCATAGAAAATGAAAATGGGCATTACCAATTCAGCAGCACAATATTCTGTGGGCAAAGAGATTGGTGGAGCATTTTTGAGTCTAACTGCTAGCCACAAGTCAGTTAAGAGGCCTTACTATTTTTGTAGGTGATAATGTATACTACCATTCTGTAGCCTGCTGCTGATTCTCTTAGAGTGTTGTCCTCAGACACACAGTGGTTAGCTGTTGGTAGAACAATTATACAGTTTATTCAAATGATAAGGACTGAGTTGCACAAGCAAAGGGTCTTAGCACTATAATCAAGTAGGTGATCTGAACTTGTTTGTATCTGCTCTGTTTATGTTTGTGTCTGTTTTTTGTTTTTTGGATTGCACTGTGGCATGGATGGAGTGGGTCTTTGATTATCTTTTCCTTAACCTTTTTATTAAAGTATAGCCTAGACACAGTAAAATGTACAAGACAATAGATGAATATTTACATATATGTATATATATATATTCATGTACCCACCACACATATCCAGGTATAAAACAATTCTCTTACCCCATGAAATTTACCTATGCCCCTTCACAGTGAACCTCCCTCTCCCAGGTAACTACTACTATAACTTCTATCACTATCAATTAACTTTACCATCATTATCAATTAACTTTACCTGTTTTTGAAATTCACATTAATGGAATCATATAGTATATATCTTTGTGTCTAGCTTCTTTTACTCATCATTATGTATGTAAGATAAAGTTATCTTGTTGCCTGTCAGCAGTTTGTTTTTTTAATCATTGCTCCATAATATTCCATTGAAGAAATAAACCATAATCAATTACCTATTCTCTTCTTGATGGACTTTTGGGTTGTTTCTAGTTTGGAACTACTAAGAAAAAAGATGCTATTAATATTCTTTAACATGTTTTGGGGGGGCCTGCATACTCATTTCTCTCACACAAAAATTTATGTGTTAGAAGTACTGAATCATAAAGTAGGTGTACATTTAAGTTTAGTAGATGGTGTCAGTTTTCTAAAGTGGTTTTATACCTTAGAGTCCCACCTGCAATGTATGAATGTCTATGGGTAGTTCCTGGTGGCTTGCCATGATCATACAGTGGTTAGTACTTTGTATTGCGAAATGTCCAGTTGTCTGTATCCTTACCTCGTTTGATATTGTCAGTCTTTTTAATTTTACCAATTTTGGTCAGTATATAGAGGTATCCCAATGAAGTTTAAACTTACATTTTCCTAATGAACAATAATATTAAACACCTTTTCATATACTTATTGGCCATTTGGGTAGCATTTTTATGAAGAGCCTGCTTTAAGTCCTTTTGCTCTTATTTAATGAGTTATTTGTCTTTTTTTGGTATTGATTCAGAGCAGTTCTTTATATATTCTGGATATGAATCCTTTGTCAGATACATGTATTACAAATAGATTCTGTTGCAAATTTGCCTTTCACTCTTAATGCTGTTATGTGATGTTACTTTTAATAAAGTCCAGTTTCTTTTTTTTAAGTCTTCTTGTTGTTTAGTCACTCAGTTGTGTCTGACTGTTTGCAACCCCATGGACTGTAGATAGGCTCCTCTGTCCATGGGATTCTCCAGGCAAGAATACTGGAATGGATTGCCATTTCCTTCTCCATTTTAAAGTCTAATTTCTTACTATTCTTTCATGGTTAGTGCTTTTTGTATCTTATTTAAGAAATATTTGCCTACTTAGGTTTATGGAACTATTCTAATTTTTTCTATAGCTTTCAGTGTTTAAGGTTTGATATTTAAGTTTATGGTCTGTTGTGAATAAAAATAGTTTTATCATGTGATTAGGGGTTAAGGTTCATTTTTTTCATACGAATGTCCAATTGCTCCACACTGTTTTTTTTATTTTAAAGAAACTGATTCATGTCAATGTATGGCAAAAATCACTACAATATTGTAAAGTAATTAGCCTCCAACTAATAAAAATAAATGAAAAATAATACTAATAATAAAAAGAAAAAAGAAACTGAGTTCTTCTTTACTTCTGATCATCAAAAGATACAATTAAAAAATGAAAGAAAATACTTGCAAAACATATATCTCATAAATGATTAATATCTGGGATATGTAAAGAACTTCTGCAACTCAATAATAATAAGACATGCAGACCACTTTTTTTAAATGAGGAAAACTTGGAACAGATATTTCACAAAAGAAGATAAGACGAATGTCAAATAAACACATGCAAAAGTGATCAATATTATTAGCAATATAAGAAATGCAAATTAAAACCACAATGAAGTAGCATTACATTTCTGCTCAGAATGGCTATTATTAAAACAATTGGATCAGTATATGTTATATAAGAACCTGGAGCAGCTGGGATTCCCAAATATTGTTGTTTGTTTATAAGTCAGAGCATATAGCTATTCTCTGACTCAGCAGTTTCACCCCATCTAAGTATTTATCCAAAGATAAATTAAGACTTGTGTCTACAAAATTACCAGTGCAGAGATATTTATAGAAGCATTACTCATAATAGCTAAGTAGACCAGGTTTCCATAAATAGAATAGTGTTCATAATAGCTAAAACCTGGCAACAACCCAAATGTTCAACAGTACATGAATGGATTCTTTTTTTATGAATGGATTTTTAAAAGTTTGATATATCCATACAATAGAATCCTACCAGTTAACTCTACCAGTATAATATGATGGTAATTATTTTTATTATGAATATATAATAATGCCAGCCTCTGAATAAATCAATATAAAACTTAAAATTATTCTTAAATCATCAAGCAAGCACCAGTATGTTTGGGGGTTTTCTTTCTATTCTTTACTGTTTCTATGCTAACATTCTAAATTGTAACTTTGAATTGTAGCTCTCAAAGCAGTACAGTTTTTCTTTATCATTAAATTGAGCTTTTTACTCTAGGAACCCCAGGCCTTCCTGGACCAAAAGGTATTAATGGTCCTCCTGGGAACCCTGGCCTTCCAGGAGAACCTGGCCCTGTAGGTAAGAATGAAAACTAAGAGTTTGCTATGCTATAAAATTAAAGCTTTATTCATTTTTGGAAAGTCAAATCATTTCTGGGAGCTGTGAGCGTTTTCAAGACAAACATGCTGATCATTCACTTCGTACCACTTGTTAGATATGAAATGAACAATTCTTAGTAAGAGTTGCTTAAAATTATTATTATGGGACCTTATTTTTCAGGCTCACTTTTTCCAAGGAGAGTTATTTCAGGTATCCTTTAATAGTAGATAGAAGCTCTCATTATTTTAGAATGGCAAAGTGTAGTTTTGCTTGTTTACTGTTCTAAAGCAAATCACTCCTTTTGGCCCCGTAGGAGGCCTATAATTCACCCCGCTTTCATCCCTCCCCCCACACACACACCTTGCTTTTTTACATATTCTAAAGGTGGGTTAGACATACAGATGGCTAACAAACACATGAAAAGATGCTCAACATCACTCATTATCAGAGAAATGCAAATCAAAACCACAATGAGGTACCATTACACACCAGTCAGGATGGCTGCTATCCAAAAGTCTACAAGTAATAAATGCTGGAGAGGGTGTGGAGAAAAGGGAACCCTCTTACATTGTTGGTGGGAATGCAAATTAGTACAGCCACTATGGAAAACAGTGTGGAGATTTCTTAAAAAGCTGGAAATAGAACTGCCATATGACCCAGCAATCCCACTTCTGGGCATACACACCGAGGAAACCAGATCTGAAAGAGACACATGCACCCCAATGTTCATCACAGCACTGTTTATAATAGCCAGGACATGGAAGCAACCTAGATGCCCATCAGCAGACGAATGGATGAGGAAGCTGTGGTACATTTACACCATGGAATATTACTCAGCCATTAAAAAGAATTCATTTGAATCAGTTGTAATGAGATGGATGAAACTGGAGCCCATTATACAGAGCGAAGTAAACCAGAAAGATAAAGACCATTACAGTATACTAACACATATATATGGAATTTAGAAAGATGGTAGCGATAACCCTATATGCAAAACAGAAAGAGACTCCGATGTATAGAACAGACTTGTGGACTCTGGGAGAAGGCGAGGGTGGGATGTTTCAAGAGAACAGCATCGAAACACGTATATTATCTATGGTGAAACAGATCACCAGCCCAGGTTGGGTGCATGAGACAAGTGCTCGGGCCTGGTGCACTGGGAAGACCCATAGGGATCGGGTGGAGAGGGAGGTGGGAGGGGGGACCGGGATGGGGAATACATGTAAATCCATGGCTAATTCATTTCAATGTATGACAAAAACCACTGCAATGATGTAAAGTAATTAGCCTCCAACTAATAAAAATAAATGAAAAAAAAAAAGAGAGAAAGTGAGTTTGAATACTGAGTGGATGATAAAACAGTTCCTTATTCTCATTATCCTTTATTTCTTTTCCACGAGGTTTCATGACTTAAAGAAATGTCCTAGAGACACTGTGTGTCTTTTGGCTAGAATTATTTGAGGCTAAAAGCAAAAGAATTGGGAATATAGGAGAAAAAGGAAATTGAGAAGAAAAGTATAACCTTCTGTACTCTGTTCTTTAGGTGGTGGAGGTCGTCCTGGGCCACCAGGGCCTCCAGGTGAAAAAGGCAAACCAGGTCAAGATGGCATTCCTGGACCAGCTGGACAGAAGGGTGAACCAGGTACTATATTTTTTTAATTGTCCTTAATTTTCTAATTTCTTCCTTGTCTACTGTAACTTTTGTCCTTATGTACCCATAGTGAAATTCTTCCTTATCCTCTAAGCTACTATACACTTCTCCCTTCCTAATTACCTTCTTCCTGAGACTATTATCTCACATTTATTGAATCAAGTTACCTCCCTCTTATGAAAAACTCCATAATCTTTTATTGCTCAATTGTTCATGTCAAGAAGCTACCTAGCTTTTTTTTAACTACTCTGGTTGACCTTCTTTCACCATGCAATCTCTCTATATATACATATATATGATACGTGTATTTAAAAATATACTTAATACTCAAATAGAATATAAGTTTATATGATTTTTTTTCATGTTCGAATTGTAGTTCCATGTTGGAAATAAGTCTTCTCCATGTTTCATATGATATACATTGCAGCACTTGCTAAAAACCTAAATGATCCAAAAATAATTTCTTCTTATTTCAGTTATTATTATCTGTTTGAAAGTTTTGGGTTTATGTTCTGACAGGTCAGCCAGGCTTTGGAATCCCAGGACCCCCTGGACTTCCAGGACTTTCTGGTAAACTTTAATAAAGCATGTTAAATCAGTCAGAAAAAAGATAATATTCTCCAGTACACTTATTTTTTCATCTCCACATACGACCCAGGACAACTCAAAGCTAGAGTTACATCTTAAAGCATTTCTTAATTAGCAAGTTAGTATAAGCTATTGTACTATAAAAAATGCACCATTAAGAAAATTCATATACAGATATCTCTTCATTAACCTCATAAATAAATGTTAAGGAAATGATAAAGAAAGAAAAATTGTAGGAAGAGTTAGGTTTCAATAAGTGTTTCTTTTTTTTAGTAATTTTTTAAAAACTCTTTTAGCCAGAAGAAAAATACTTTTTTCTCCTCATGGAAACCAAAACCAAGATAATATAAGTAAACTGTAGAAATATGTACCAATCATAAAAATGTCTATTGAAAACTCCATTTTAATTTACATCTCGCATCTTGGATGGTATGTGTGCACACACATCTACCTCCCTCATTTGTTTTTACTCTCATTGTAAGCCCCAAGTAGTTAATTAAATGACTAAATTCGTACAGATACGTATTTTTATGTTCTGAAATGACCATCAGCTATTTATGGAGGATTTTTTCAAACCACACATAGATCACTTAGAAATTCCTGTATTCCGTTTATGAATCCAACATAAAAATTATTACTCTAATGTACAACTGTTATATTGCTCTCCAACATATCAGTGGTATAGAAAGACTGTTGAAAACAGTTTGTCTAGATTGTGATTCTAAATCTTGGATGGAATGGTCTTTGGGGACACACAGCAACCATTGAAGATCCATATCTTTCAATGGTCTCAAAAATTTGTCTCAGAACAGATGGGGGGACACCTGTACACCCATGGCTGATTCATGTTAATGTATGGCAAAACCACCACAATATTGTAAAGTAATTAGCTTCCAATTAAAAGAAATAATTTTTAAAAAATATTTTGTGTTAGGAATTTCCTCTAGCTATCTCTAACCTATTCTTGTAAATATTTTATACTTTTGTTATTTTCTCCTCCTAACTACTGGTCATGTGATCATTGCTGTATCTCCTAACACAAAGGATATCTTTTAGAATGCAAGTTATTATTGTTTCTATATTTCTATACATACTCTGACAAATAGTTCTGATAACAGATAAACCTAATAGAAAAAATGGGTTTTCTGGATGGGTTGGGGATTTGGTAGGAGGTAGAAATGACCTTAGTAAATTCCATTATTTTTTCTAATAAGTGGGAGTAGCTTTAGTCTTACAGGCAAGCCTAATTAGTATTCAGTATCATTTAATATGTTCGTAACATGACTTTGCTTTCATAGGTCAAAAGGGTGATGAAGGATTACCTGGCATTCCAGGAAACCCTGGCCTTCCAGGTCCAAAGGGTGAACCAGGCTTTCATGGTTTCCCTGGTCTGCAGGGTCCCCCAGGCCCTCCTGGTTCTCCAGGTCCAGCTCTGGAAGGCCCTAAAGGCAGCCCTGGACCCCAAGGTCCTCCTGGGAGACCAGGTATGTACATGAGTGGTAGGGGAATGGTCTATTTATTAGTCCATTTTTGCTGGCAGGTTATCCAGTCTTTAGAACATTAAAATCTGCAATCCAAAGAACTTCTTAAAAAGAAATAGCTTGTTTTATTCCTGGCTCCATCCATTCCATGGCATCTAATAATTCTTTTCAGTAATGTATTTCATCATTTACTTAAAGTTGAACTAAAACAAACCAACTTGGAGGAAAAAAAGGAAATAGTGAATTTATTAGTCTTTTTATTAAACATAAAGCTATACTGAAGAAAAAAAAAACTATACTGATAACCTGACAGCAAAATGCCAGCTGTGTTTTTAATGTGAGCTTCTCAGCATGTTATCACAGAAATCATTTTAGTGATCACCCAATAGATGCTTGTGGTCCACACCAAAAATGTTGCTATGGTTCTGTCATATGATCAGCACATGTCACTAAGCACAATAAAAAATTTTTATCTTCTCTAGGAGCTAGGCAATCAAATTTATCTTCAACATCACAGCATGATTAAATTGAATAGTGATCTCTTCATACCAGCTTCATGTCTATACCTCATTTGTCTTGTGTTAACTGCTCTAATAGTCTCAGTTTTGCATCCAATGTTCACTTTTCCTTTTGTGTTTGTGCTGTTTCATTTCATTTTACTAAGTTTGGAAATGCTCATTTTCATTCTGGATTAATGTCGCTGAGCCCAATCACTGGAGATAGATTATTAATAGATACTTGAGACTTAATATTCAGTTTTTTTTACTTTCTAATTATTGAAAATTTGGCCCTCATTGATTTTTTTTAAAGTAAGATAAATGTAAAATTAAAGAAACAAAAAAATTGCCTTTTTATCCTTTGAAGGTCTCTGACTCATTTTTATAATGTATTTAAAAGTGCAAATTTCCATAAACTCTGAAGTGATTGCAGGCAGTCAGTTTTAATAAGATATTCTGTAAAAACATGAATCAATGGGATCACATACCTTGTTCAGAAGATCATTTTCAAAACCAGATTTTATCTGATCTATTTATAGAAGGTATTATTTAAAGTTTTACTTTGCTTTACTATTGAAGAAAATCAGTGAAGCTCTCAGCCATGTTAATTCTGTTGCATGTAATATAAAGCATTGACACGAATATCTTGCTTGATTATGCATGTAATAATTCAAATAAACCAAACTATTCTCCTTTTCAGTATTTTAATCAGCACTGTGACTATTTATTATCAGTAATGGAGTTCAGTGTTGAAAATTATTTTGAAATATGTCAACATAAAGACATCAGTCATAAAAGTTTTTTTTAAATTACCATTTCTAAAAGAAATAATAACAAAAGTAGTCAGAAGAAGAACACACATCTGATGAGTATTTGTAACCTTTCAACATGTTCATAAACTACAAATTAAAATGGAATTCTAAACCCAGTTGCTCTGAGAATTGATTCTTGTTGTCTGCACTTATAGTAATGATTATTATAAGAATGATTTTTGGCCTTTCAAAATATGTCACATGTGCTGTTTTTATTTTAATGTTTATGTGAAGTGGTGATAATTTGGTTTATATACAGATGCATGAATATAAACTTGCAGAGTATTCTTTTATTGAATTAAAGTTTAACTTGAAAAAAATTAGTGTAATGCTTTAGTTTCTTGATATTTCTAACAATTTTGATATTTTTCCTTTTTGTTAATGATGACATTGGGCCTTGGTGAACTTTGATCCCTATCCAGGTCCTACAGGTTAGCTCCTTAACTCCAAAGTAGTATCTGCATAAAATATGAAACTTTTTCTTTTATTTTTATATATATTTATATGTATGTGTATATTATTTATATACACATATGTATATGTATGTGTATATATAGGTATATATACACCTGTATCTAATGTTTTCAAGTGTTTGAATGTATTTTAAGAGCATATATGCCAATTCAGTTCTTACATGTTGGTCTATCTCTGAAAGTTGTTAGGAATTTGTGCAGTCCAGTTTTTCTATTGGAATAACTCAAAGTAACCTTTTTAGAAAAACTGATTTATTATTTTAAAATTTATATATTTATGTTTTTTTAGTTGGAAATTTATAGTATTCAAAACTATGTTGTATACTATTTTACACTTACTGTGTATTTCCTATTTTTGCTTCATATCTGCTAATATTAATTAAATTATTCTTCAAAAAGATATTTTTAAACAATAATATGTATTATCAGATCCTGCAAATATGCAATTCTTGATGAACCATACCTCTTGCAACTTTTCAAACCATCCCACCTTCACATTTTTGTTTGTCACAAAGTTCTAAATTCTGCTACTATGTAAATGGACTAATAGGCACAGAGTAAAAAATAATTTAGTGTAACCAGCAAAGATTAGAAACCTCTTAATCTTATTTTCATCCTATACATATAAACAGTATATACCTAGGAATAGTTACCAAGAGCTGCCCATTAGAAAATTGCTGATTCATATTAAAAGATTTTCACCTAATCAGAAGTAAAAAGAATCACAAATATCTGAATGTGTTTATTATTCAGGATAAATAGCCCTTTTCACATTTCTGAGGAGCAGCTAAAAGGGGAAAAAGTATAACCCTGAGTTCTAGCTACTGAGAATGGCAGGAAATTTTCTCTTCTTATTATTTTAAACTTTATACTTTTTCAAGATGCTTTTTAGGAAGCAGCCTATCTCTATCTGAATTGATTCCCTGATTTATTACTACCCCACAAACCCATTATTTCATATAACCATATAGTATCACTCCAGAAGGACCTAAGTTTTACATTAGTCAAACAGATACTCACTAGATACTGGCTAATGATAGAAAGACAGGTTTTATTCAAGACTATTACATTAAGGGAAAGACTATTGCAATAGGAAAGAGAGACTGAGCTCAGGTCCGAGTACAACAAGGTCATATGGGGATTTATAGTCAACTGGCACCCCACTCCAGTACTCTTACCTGGAAAATCCCATGGACGGAGGAGCCTGGTGGGCTGCAGTCCATGGGGTCACGAAGAGTCGGACAGGACTGAGCGACTTCACTTTCACTTTTCACTTTCATGCATTGGAGATGGAAATGGCAACCCACTCCATTGTTCTTGCCTGGAGAATCCAAGGGACAGCAAAGCCTGGTGGGCTGCCATCTATGGGGTCACATAGAGTCGGACAGGACTGAAGTGACTTAGCAGCAGCAGCAGAGTAAAGGACTCAGTGGATGAAAAATTACTAAAAGGAGACATCAAAGTAAACAGATTCTTGCTAAACTGGCCTATTAGAGTTTTCACCGAAGGTATTCTAAGGCCTATTAGGGTCCTTGCAGACTTGCTAGAGTCTTGCTAAAGGCAGTCTAAGGACTTAGACATTAAGGATAAGGAACTTGATTAGATATCGGGGGTGGGGGTGGGGGAAACTCACCCTAAACTGACTTAGCAAGATTCTTGCTAAAAGTGGACTCAACAGACCAAGGACAGGGCCCAAGGAGTAAGGTCTAATTGAGAAGAGGGCTCAGAGTAATCTGTCTAAAGTTTAGTCACAGATGAGAAAACTAAGGCCCAAAGAAGTGAATAAGCTTGCTTAAGGTCACATTGTTAGTTACTGGCATAGCAGGAAATCTGACTTGGGGTTCCCCAGTACTTAGTTAAGTGTCACGTATCATCTTTCCACACAGACAGTTACATAGCTTGATGCTTATGATCTGGCCTCTTATTCTAGTTATAAATATGATAACTGATTGAACAAAGCTGCTTCTGCCATTTTAGGAGACTCTTAGCATAGCAGACTGGGCCTTGCCTTTGCTTTTTTTGTTTTATGTTAACTCTAAATCTCCATCAACCCCTACTAACTGTTCTTGTGTTTTCCTAAAAGGATGTCATCAAAAAGATTAAGACAAATGCATGCTATTTAGTTATTGCCAAGATAAAGAGAAGACTAGGGTATACTTTGAAGTAATTTTGAGTCCTCCCCTGTCTGACTTGCATAGAAGTTGCTGCCTTGATCACTTCCAGACTTTGCTGTCAGCTACAGGATTGTTTTCTTCCAAGGCCCTAGAATATATTCAGAGGAAAAAAAGCAAAGTAGCCACATTAGTTTAAAACTGATTTGACAACTTATTTACAAGATGTACTCTAAATTACATAATTATTGGAACCCGGTATCTGTAGTATTCTCTTCTTTGCACCAATTGAAGACTGCAACCCTGAGTGGAAACTGGATTTAAAATTTACCAATCAATTCATTAGTTTATCTTTAATTATTACTACTTATATGTAAGAGATTTTTTTGGTTTTGTTTTTCAGTTAAACTTTGTTAGGTCATTTGAGAAATAATTAATTTAGAAACTCATGTACGAAATTGACTTGGCATATAACTCATTAAAATGTTACCTTTTAGAAATTAAAGTCTTAGAAGTTTTGCTATGATATGATCTGAAGTTTTCCTCGTTACTTAGACTGAAATATCATATATTTCAATGACATATTTTTCTTGGAGTTCTTATTTTGGTCCTTCTATAGCAAACGCATATGTAAAATGTCTTTACTCAAACTCTGAATTATCTTAAGTAGAAATTCTAATTTATCTACCTAATAGTGTTGCCAGACTCTGCTCAAAGTGTTGTCTTGAGTCAGTTTGCTGTATGTGATTTAGAAACCATTTAAGCAAACAGAAGTTGATTTTTTGGCCTCCTGGATTTCAAGTTGTCAAATGCTTTAAGAGGCTTATTACTCTTATTACTTGGTATAGTAATGTTTTATATTTATATGACATGCCATCATTTATATCATGCTCCTTGAAGGCAGAGTTTGGGTCTAGCTAATCTTTGTGTTCCCTGTGTCATCTTGCACATAGAAGGTCAACATTTTAAAAATGTATTTGATCTTTAAAACAACTCTGAAGGAGATTAGGGTAGACAACACTATTCCCATGTGTGGGTGAGAAAACAAGCTCAGAGAGATTGAATTGCCCAGAATCTCATAGATATAAGTAAGTAGTAGAGCCAAGAATAAATCCTCAGTCTTCTAATTTCTAGGATTCAGTATGCTAGTACAATTTATTCTCTCTGCAAACGTCAATGCCTATAAATCATAGCAAGACTTGTAAGAAAAGGAAATTGGGTTTATAGTCAATTAACATCAACCAAGAGTTGTCCTGTTTGTAGGCTTTTTATCTTTTTAATGATCCTTCTTTTAATAGTTAATAGTCTAATTTAATATGTACATCAAATAATATAAAGTAAATGTGATATTTTCTGTAGTTTGGGGTGGGATATTGCATGCCAAAATATTTTGAAGGGCCCTTCAGTGATGGTCTTCACAACTTTGGAAAATTCTACTCTTAATTTTCTTAAATGATGAGCAAACATATATTGGCTTTTTCTCGTTGAGTATATTACAAGTAATAATGCAAGAGAAGAAAGCTTCTTGATGGATTATTTTTAAAAATCATGATCTGTCTTCATGCAATGATTTTCAAAAAAGACAAACAGAAGTATAGTTGGTAATGACCATTGTTTATTTGTGTTTCAATTTCTCTGTTAGGTCATCTGTGATCTTTGTATATTTGCATGGTAAGGTCTTTAACTGTAGCTCCTTGGAGCAGTCTGCCTATACCAAGAAATTTGCACCTTGTGTTTTTACTAAAGAATGGCAGGGGCCAAGATAAACTTTTACGCAAAAGTTTTACCCAAAGGAATAGAAGGCTATCAATGAAGTGGTACTCCCTTTCCAACTTTCATATTTTGAGGTTCTAACTTTTGGAAAGCCATTGTAGCATTTCATTTGAATTAATGAAAACTAGTAGCTTATTTCATAGAATAAGCTCTATTTTAAAATATTTGGCTCTCTATACTCCTGTATGGTTCTGTTTGCATACTGATTACGCTGTAGGTGTAAGAAATGCTGGCAAAGAGAATTATTGTTTAACTTGTGCTATAATGTGAACCACTTCTAACTCATAATCTTATTTTGTACTGTGTGATGTCTGATACTGCTAACATCGATCTTTGGGCTTTGGTGAACTCTGATCTTCCCAGGTTTTCAAGGTTAGACTGGTCAATTTTTTTTTTAATGCTTTGTATGTGTGACAAGAGAAATGCACTTTTTTTTGCTATAATTCTTAAGTCATTGAAGAGTGCTGTTATCCTCAAATACTACGTGCTCTGGTATTTAACATTTTGGTGAAGGTAATGTGACTTGTTTATAATCAAGTTTGAAATGACATTAGGTCTTTGTGGTTTCAACTATTTATAATAGGTAATTCATACATAGAAACATGTTAAAATTTAAATGGAAATATACTTATTTTTATATTTAAGATGCATTATTTAGGCAGGCATCTGACCCATTTGTAACCTCTGTGTATTGATTTTATTTTCTTGAATTTTTTTTTTTTTGCCTGAGATTGATCAGAGCTGTGTTTTCATGGCTATTTTCAATAATGAAAGAGGGTAACTATTGAGTATTGTTATAAATAAAACTTACATGCCCCTTGTGTTATTAGCAAATCAGTAATTTAAATTTGAGAGACACTAGAACAATAGGTCTGAATCAATAACATGTAAATTTACCTAAATTTCCTTTTAATTGCAAACAGAACAATGCCCAAAACATGCCTACTTTTTTTTCCCCAAATGATAAGTGTTCTGATTACTTTTCAGATTGGGGAGAGAAGAATAAAATGTTCCTTTTTTTCCTCCTCTTAATCTTACCCTAGTCACTGGTAGATTGATTCACAGAGAGTTTACTTTTCTCTTAATAATCTGATTTGCTACCTGATTTCTAGTCTAAATTACACATTATGGAAGAAGGTAACAGTTTTTCTCAGAAAACCCTACCAAGGAGTTTGAACTCAATAATTGTTTTTATTTGTTTAAATTGAAAATACCCAACCTTTTCTTTATGATTGGGAAGGGAATTTCTGAGAGTGTCTATCTGGTTGCTGGGCTAGGGTGACTATATGATTTAAACTGTTTAAAGATAAATGATTGTTGTACTGTTGTGAACCTGCTTCCTCTTTCTCATGTGACAGTATTACATTATGAAATCACATAGAAATAGCTGAAAGATTAAAAACAGGTTCATATTTTAAAATATATTCTTACCTTCAGTTTTACTAATAATGAAGATAATAATAATTGTTTAAAAATTCTTATATAATTCTTACTATGTGCCAGGCACTGTGTCTATAGTTATTATCTTATTTAATTCTTGGAACAGCCTGATAAAGTAGGTACTATTCTTATTTCCATTTTAAAGAAGTTGAAATTGAGGCCAAGGTGATGCATAAAACTTACAGAGGTCAAATAGCTAATGATTGATTAATGAGTCCAGCATTCATGATCTCTAAGCCATGCTGCCTTGTTAGCATGAAACCATTGATTCTGAGTCATGAGAGTACTGGAAAGGATTGGATCAAAATGTGACCTTTTGTCTGTATGTAAACATGAATTCAGTATTCTAAATTCATATACCTGTGAAATTTCCTTCAAAAATAAACTCTACATATTTTCCTTTTTTGTTGAAACTAGTGAAAAGCTAAGATTACTGGAGGAGAGAAGGTATAGGTGCTCACTATGTACCGTTCATTATTTGGGACTTTGTAATTATTTTGTTAAGGCAGGGCTATTTAGTCTCCACCTCAGCACTCTGCAGGCAAGACAGCTATTTCCACCTAGTGAGGAAAAATGTGGCTATTTATAAGATCTTCTTGGTCACTTAATGAACCTGATATCTTTATTTAGAAGGAACATTTTAAAACATAGTATAAGGAAGGAGCTAGCAAAATCTCCTTTTAAATTATTTATTTTATTTATTCAGAAGTTATATGCCAAGTCCTTTATTTTTCTTCAGAAATATTTAAAATGTAAATAATACAAAAACATTTTTAAAATAAAAGTACTATATTGACCCCATGAATTTCTGACGCTAAAATATTCCCATGTATTAAGCATATCACTAAAATGAAATTAAGCAATTAGTTTGCTTAAATAGCTATCTTAATTGCATAGTAATACAAAATGAATAAAAGTAACTACTTACAAATAAAGCAACTGTATTTTAATCACAGTGAGGCAAATAACATGAATCCCTGATTGCCCTACAAAATGTGGCCGTGAACCAGGAGCTTTAGCTACAGGACACTTTTTATTTACAGGGCACTTGTTAGAATGGAAATTCCTGGGCCCCTCTCCAACCTAACAAAATCCAAAACTCTGGGGGTATATCCAACAATCTATTTTAACAAGCCCTCCTGGGGATTCTGATGCATTTCCAATTTGAGAACAGTGCTCTGTGGTGTCTGTTTTGGTTCACTTAAATCAAACAGTGAGGGATTACAGAAGCAATCTTTATTACAATGTCCAAAGTCCTTCCTTTAGATATGAGCTTATTGGATTTAATATATAATAAAATACAAAGTTAAACAATCTGCAACCCAGTGTTAATAACAAAAGGAACCCAGCCCAGTTTACATTAGAGGCTCAGCGTTGATCTATATATTTTAATGTACTCTGGATTTTATTCTGCAAACTAATAGATGACTAAGAGTATTTGGATAATTTAAAAGCCTGACTTTTATGCTGTTCTTATGTTATATTGAAATGTGGCTATTTGTTGTGCATTATCAAGGTCCACCAGGTCCAGAAGGTCCCCGGGGTCTACCTGGAAGTGGGGGTATTAAAGGAGAAAGAGGTAACCCAGGCCAACCTGGGCAACCTGGTTTGCCTGGTTTGAAAGGTGATCAAGGTCCTCCAGGACTCCAGGTAGGAAATGGGAGTAGATATTTGATGAGAAATTCTCAAAATGAGAATTCCAAACTGCATTTTTTAAATTTGCATTTACTGGTCAAGGCTCTTTGCATGGCTTACTGGTTAAGTACAGAGAAAAAGGCAAGTTTCCTGTCTTCTACCAACTAAAGGGGCTTTGATACCTTATAGTTAAAGGGTTCCCCAAAAGATGGTTTTAACTGGAGTTCTTGGTGTGTATAGATTTTGATTTGAGAAACTTTGATTTCAGCAAAAGCAGATTATAAAAGTATATGTGTGGTGTGTGGGTGTGTGTGTGTAAGCACTGCATGTGGATGGGTCCTTCCGTAGAGAACTGATCATGGTGAGTGGGGTTGTCTTAGACTTTATAGTTAGAGTCACCTCGCAGCTCCACTGTACAGCTATGCTTTGTGTCTGTGGAAGGCAGACAGATACTTTGTGTTTCTGTCTTTACCTGTAAAAGGAGAATAATAACATATCCTCACGTCTATATTCATGCATTTTCCACCTTGGTTTGAGTGACCCAGAAAGTCACATGTTTGTTTATGGATCCTCAAAGCCTCCTTCCTTCATTCAGGAGGATTGTTGTTAGATTTGGCAGCCAACAGAGTCTGGGCTCAGTCTTTTAACTTTGACGGCTCCTTTATAGCAGAAAAATCTAAAGAAGTTGTCTTTAGACAATTTAAAGTTTAAAATCTAAAGTTTAAAACAATTAACCTTTTCTCCTGTTATTGCTATTCTTTTAGACATCTAGACTTAAAATTTTAATCCTCTCTTTATTCATTCTCTACTCGCTGCCTCATTCATTTCCCATGTACTTCCAGTTTACATGTCACTTTGCCAGATTCAAGATTACTGTCTAATACCAACGTTTTATAAACATGGTATTTTCAAGTTCTATTCATTTTCTTTTATGCAAATTCTTACATTTGTACCCTTTCTAATTTTCATTTTGGAAATAATATTAAACTTATAGAAAAATTTCAAGAATAGTAAAAAAAAAAAAAACCCTATTTACCCAAATGGACCAGTTGTTAATGTTTTGCCCCATTTGCTCTCTATGTGTATTTTCTCTGTGTGTATGTGTATAATTATGTATTTTTTTCTGAAATATTTAAGAAGAAGCTGTATCTATCTTGCCCTTTTGGGCTTCCCTGGTAGCTCAGCTGGTAAAGAATCTGCCTACAATGCAGGAAACCTTGACTCGATTCCTGGGTTGGGAAGATCCCCTGGAGAAGGGATAAGCTACCCACTCCAGTATTCTTGGGCTTCCCTGGTGGCTCAGATGGTAAAAAATTTTCCTTTAATGTAGGAGACCTGGGTTCGATCCCTAGATTGGGAAGATCCCCTGGAGGAGGGCATGGCAACCCACTCCAGTATTTTTGCCTGGAGAATCCCCATGGACAGAGGAACTTAGAGGGCTACAGTTCATGGGGTCGCAAAGAATCGGATGTGGCTAAGCACAGCATATCATGCCCTTTTATCACCAAATACCTCAGTATATAGTATTTCCCCAAATTAAATATATTTATTTTATATAACCATAGTATAATTCTCAACTTCAAGAACATCAATGTGACATTTTTATTTCTAACCATGTATTCCAGTTGTATCTGTTGACTTAATAATACCCTTTATAGCACTTCCCTCCCTCCAAAATAGGATCTAGACCAAACCATGCATTACCTTTAACTATTATATCTCTTTATTCTCTCTCAATTGGAAACAGTTTCTAAACCTATTTTTTTCTTTCATGATCTGGACATTTTTGAAGAAATATGTGTAGCCCCTTCCCATTAAAAAAAGAATGTTTCTTCTTTTGGCTGCTGTTTCTTCATAATTAGATTGAGGATGTGCATCCCCAGATGGAATACTCCATGAGTGGTGTGTTCTCAGATATGGAGGCCCACAATATTCATCTGCCCTTAATTAGTTATCTTAATTTTTATTTTCCCATTAAGTTGTTAACCTGGTTTCTCCACTACATGGTTACTGTTTTTCCCCTTGTAACTAATAAGTAAAACTACAGGAAGACATCATACAAATATACTATTCCACATCAGAATTTCTCCTTAGAATATCTATTTATGATTTCTGCCTCAATTCTGTGTTCAATTCTGTGATAGTGGCAACTGATGATTGTTCCACTCTAGCACTGCCTCCACATATACCGATTGGCCCTTCTGTAACCAAGAGCCTCCCTTCTGTTCCATTTATGTCTATTTGTTATCATCATAGACTCATAAACTCATTCTTTTCAATGATTTGTAATTTTTAAACTATCCTTACTTATTTTGATTCTCAAACTGTCCTAGATTTGGGAGCCCCTTCAAGCTGGATCCTATGACTTTATCACATGGCGGCCTTTTTAAGCTCTTTCTTACATTTTTCCTTAAGATGTTCTAGCCTTGTCTCTTTTTTTGTTATTATTAGTAAGCTTCATTGTTCCACACTTACTCTTCCTTTAGGTTCATTCTAGAGTTATTCTCAACTCTTCCTCTTCCCATCGTTTTCCTGGCCCTCAAACCCAATTAATTAACAAGCCTACTCTATTTTTTGCTTAGTCTGTCAGACTTTGTCACTTTTTGGATTTTAATTCACACACTTACTACATCAGGGCTACACTCAAAAGAGGTGCCTTTGTTAATGATAATAAAATATTATTGTCATTATCTAATTACCCTTATAAATAATATAATACAGCTATTATAGAATAATAACTGCCATTAAGTACACATCATAACCGATCAGTTTTCTCAGTACTTAATATGAATTGTCTCATTTAATGCTCACAACAACTTCATGAAGTAGATACTGTTATTTTCTCTGTTAGAGGTAAGAAAATGATGCATCAAAAAGGATAAACAATCAACTCAATATCATACAAGCTAGTAAAAGGTGAACTGAGATTTGAATCCTAAAAGTTTGACCCTAGAGCCAGTGCTGCAAATCACTATGCAATACCACCTATGCTCTCACTTCCTTCCCTGCCCCCAATATTGTTCTAAAATTAATGATTTTATTTATTCAGGGTAACCCTGGCCGGCCAGGTCTCAATGGAATGAAAGGAGATCCTGGTCTCCCTGGTGTTCCAGGATTTCCAGGTATTTGAAGGGATGTTTTGCAGTTTCCCCTTTTACGTTAAATTCCTTTGGGAGAAGACACACAATTCCTGATTTGGCTGGGTAAAGGTTATGGCCCTGTTGTTCTGCTGTGCAATTGTACCTTCTTTGTAGGCATGAAAGGACCCAGTGGAGTACCTGGTTCAACTGGCCCTGAGGGGGATCCAGGACTTATTGGCCCACCAGGTAAGACTTATTTCTGGAGCTAGTTATACCTGATACTTAAATTCATTGAAGAATTTGAAAGTTTGCATTCTGCCTTTCAGCTAAAACTTTCAGAGTCTCAGTCCCCAACAACTGAGGGGGAATAGGTAGGACTCTCCCTCTTCTTATTATATTAATCTCTCAAGTTCTCTGTTTCAATAATATATATCAAAAAAGACCTTTTAAAGTTAAGATAGATATAGGGCCAACAAGAATGCTTCACTGAGGTGTTTTTTTTAACCTTTTATACTAACTCTCCCATATTCAATTGAACAGATCACAAGAGCAAGTCTCATAGGTATGTTTCTATATTTTTAATATGAAAATAGTTCCTTTTGCTGAGAGACTTACAGAGATTTCCTGTAAACTATGAAACAGGGTATCTACTAGATTCCTTTACTAGTTAGTTCAGTGGCTCCCTTGACAAACTCAACAAACAAGATCTGCAAATGACGTTAGAATCAGAATGGACTCATCAGGAAACGGAAGTGTCTTCCCTTGACACCAGTGTTCACAGATTTTCAATGGATTAGATTTTCTAATAACCAAATCACACTTCAAGGCTTGAAAATAGGGACTATATGCCTAATTTGTCCATAGACCCTAATCCATGGACAAATAAGACCCTAAGAAATGATTTGTTGGTTTTTTTTTTCAGCTCTTTGATGTAAATAAAGGTAATTTTCCCAAACAGATTTCTGCTGGACATAGTAGATTCCAATACATGTAACTCATTTCTCTCAAACCAATTCTTATTCTGATCTGAGGTTTATTTTGGCATTCATTCTTTTCAACCTTTCTCTTCCCTACCTTCACCTTTATGTATTTTGCCTCTTAGGTCCCCCTGGATTACCTGGTCCTTCAGGACAAAGTATTGTAATCAAAGGAGATGCTGGCCCACCAGGGATTCCAGGCCAGCCTGGATTGAAAGGTTTACAAGGACTCCCAGGACCTCAGGGTTTACCAGGTACCTTTGTAGATCATCTTTTTTAAGCCTTATGTATTTGCAAACATTTCCCTCATTCTCCTTTCACTTTTTAGAGTTTGTCTCTGACCACAGGAGTCTCAGCAGCTAGTAGAATACTACACCACCATAGGTCGCACTTTCTTTTTGAACCTTTCTTGAAAAGGTTCATTTCTCATGCCCTAATTTCTTTTAGGCCCAGTCCAATTTCTTCTCACTCATCTGGCTATCCTAATTGAATGATTAGGTTAATGTTTTTAAAATCTCTATAATGAAATTCATATGCATTTAAGATCTGATGCTTTCTCTGTCCCAACCACAAGAAGGATAGAAGGCTGATTTGATGGGCTGTTAGTTTCCACGCTGTGAGGTCTTAAGATTTTTAAACTAAATCCTGTCTAGTTGGCCATTTCACTCTATACTTGCAACCAACTGTGATTCTAAAAGAAAACTAGAAACTAACTTCAGTCTTTCCAATTTATTAGTGGCTTAACAGCAGTCTTTTCATAAATGAAGTATACCAGGCAGCAACAGCCTTGCCTTTTGTTGGGATATATAACAAAAGTTGGGCCTTGTGCTATGTCTTGTTCTGAAGGCAAGGAGAACACAACTGCCATATTATAGAAATCTCCACAAAGGCGAATGGATTGTTTAAAATTAAACCTAAATCCTTGTCTGCATCTTTTCATCCTGGGCTTGAACTATTCTTTCATTTATCTGAATTAAAGACAAAACCAGATTATGAATTCAGTGCCACTCATGGATGTCAAGTGTCCCAGCTCTATCTGGATGTGAATTTATTCTACGCACATTTGAAAACCCTACTGCTTTCTCCTGTAGGTCCAATTGGCCCTCCAGGAGATCCTGGACGCAATGGACTCCCTGGCTTTGATGGTGCAGGAGGACGCAAAGGAGACCCAGGTTTACCAGGCCAGCCAGGTGAGACAAGTAAAACACTGCTGCTGATAGTAGTTTTAAGTCTGGAAGACCTCTGGACATATGGCCTCCAATTGGAGCTGTGAAAGCCTCCTCTTGAGAGAGCACAGCTAGCTGGGGAGTCTGTTGCTTGGGAAAAATGTGATGACACAGATTTGCCAGTATAAGAGAAACACAGGAAAGTTGTCTTCATTTTAAATGTTTTTACAGCCCTAGAAAATCAGCTTTTCCTCAAAATGAGGATTTTTCAGGTACTCATTATACTTAACTGTTCTGATAAATTTCAGTGTTTTTACAACTGTAGATAATGTAAATATAACTGTAAATAACAAATATAAAGATTGGTGTTGGTAAAACAAACAAAAAAATCAGCAGTAGCAACAAAGCAGATTGGTGCTGTCTATGTTGCTCCTAGAACCAACACCCTGCCATTTCATTAACTGTCTTTCTAGGGAAGAAACAAGTCAGTGTCACTTTCATCACATACAGGCATTGCTGTGATATTTCCCCCAGGTGAAAATCTATACACACAGTGGTCAAAGGCCTGTATATAGAGAATTTTTTAAAAATAAGCTCAAATCGAGTGGGCAAATAGAAAACAGAAACAAGTGACAGATTGAAATTAGACATTTTAAAAAATTTCCTTAGAGTACCCTGCCTATTCTCTAAACAAGAATGTATGCCTGAGAATAATTCCCCAGACAGATTCAAAGGATAATGTTTTTCAGCACTGAAGCTGGCAGACTGACAGCAACCACACCCTTCCTTTCTAAGTGATGAACTAAACAGCAGACTGAGATTTTGTCATGGGGTTTGGACTCCTTTAGTATAGTGAGAGACTAAATAACACACAAATTCCCCAAATGAGCATCACTTCTTCCCATCTAGTGTTCCATTCACTCAGTATTTATTTAGTGCCTGATGTCATCAACCAATTCCAAAAAAAAATTTTAAGTCTCTTTGAGGACAGGGACCATGTTTTGTTTCTCTCCAAATCTGTGATATCTGACAATGCCTGTGTAGACATTCCATAAATATTGACTAAATTAACTAATTAAACGAGGTCATAATGTTTTGTCAATAGCCATAATAGTGAATCAGAGCTCACTTAATTTTGTATACTGATGGTTTTTTGGAAAATAGGTACTCGTGGCTTGGCTGGTCCCCCTGGGCCAGATGGATTGCAGGGTCCTCCAGGTCCCCCTGGAACCTCTTTTATTGCCCATGGGTTTCTCATCACACGTCACAGCCAGACAACAGATGCTCCACAATGCCCGCAGGGAACCATCCAGGTGTATGAAGGCTTTTCTCTCCTGTATGTACAAGGAAATAAAAGAGCTCATGGTCAAGACTTGGGTGAGATAATCAGCATCTTATTTCTTACTATGCATTTCTGTTTTGTTTTGAAAATCTTGTTAGGTTCTAGAGTAACCTTGGACAAAGTGCATCTCTATTCTTTCACTCGCAGTCAGTCGCTCTTTTGCAACCCAATAGACTGCAGCCTGCCAGGCTCCTCTGTCCGTGGGATTTTCCAGGCACGAATATTGGAATAGGTAGCCATTTCCTTCTCCAAGGGATCTTCCTGACCCAGGGATCAAACCCCAGTCTCCTGCATTGCAGGCAGATTCTTTACCATCTGAGCCACCTTATATAGAATCTTTTTCTAATTTTACAATCGACAAATCTTCATTGTAAATATACTCTTATCTTTTAGATAATGTTCTCTACTTTTTCTCCTTTCAGTCCATTCTCTCTTTACTGTGAGAATCTAATTTCTACCCATAATCAAGCTTATAAATGTTAAACTCCTAATCTAGTAAGTGAACAGGAAGCATTATAAGTTTTTGAATATCATGAAATTCACAAATGTAATGCAAAGAAAAAATGGGATCTCTTATCCACTATGTCCCTATAACTTCAAAATGTGTGTATTTGGTCAAGCAAGGGCTGTCATAGTATGTATTCTGATGCAGAGGCTATAAACTAGACTTGACTCAAATACAGCTTAGGCCTCGGCCATAGCAGCATCATGATAGTATCCAATATATCAAGCGTGATACAGGATTGCAGGGACTATGCCAGGGCTCATTCAGGGATCAACTTGGAGATATCTTGATGCCTAGGCAAAGAATAAAAATAAGAGGTTTGATGTTATGGAAGCAGTCACCTCACTAAATACATACATAGTCTGTGCTGAATTAGTGAAAGGACTATGGTGTATAAAAAAGATGGTAGTGGTGGAGGAAACAGACAATACTGAAAATGTTCTGTCTGAAAAAACAAAATGCATACCCAGAATCATTAGTCTATTAAAACTTTATAGTTTCAAAATATGAGAGTATTGAGAGTTCATGAGATCACCCTATCTTTGAATGCTTGGAGACTATAACCAGAATTCTGCATCACTATAGGTAGCCTACAGCATAAATGCAACCAAACACCCATGTTCTCATCATTATAAACCTTCCTTTTATGCACATCCTCCTATTCTCTTCTTTCTGAGACCCAGAGATATTTCCATCCCTGTCCCTAATTAGTAATTTTAATTTTATTTTCAATTTATAATTTATAAGCACTTTCAGGGACTTCCTGGCAGTCCAGTGGGAAGGACTCTGAGCTTCAACTGCAAGGGGCAAGGGTTTAGTCCCTGGTCAGGGAACTGAGATCCCACAAATAATGTGGTATAGACAAAAAGAAAAGCACTTTCATATTAATTAGACAATTTGATTTTCAAAACTAAAATAATCAAGAAAGATATAGGGCAAGTATTGTACATATACACAAACTGACTAAGAGGTTAAATAACTTATTCAGTGCCACAATGGATTGCCAGGGAAGTCTCTGAAAGTGTTTTTTAATTATAAATTAATTTAAAAATAAGACTAGCATTACTAATTAGAGACAGGGATGGAAATATCTCTGGTCTCAGAATCACAAAAGAATATATATGTATGCATATTTATATATATTCTTTTCTATTATGGTGCATCTCAGGATATTGAATATAGTTCCCTGTGCTATGCAATAGGAACTTATTGTTTATCCATTCAATATGTAATGGTTTGCATCCATTAACCCCAAACTCCCATTCCATCCCTCCCCAAACCCCTTCTCTGCTGGGCATCCAGAAGTCTGTTCTCTGTGTCTGTGAATCTGTTTCTGTTTTGAAGATAGGTTTGTTTGTAGCACCTACCAATTGCATACCCATCCATTTTTCAATTATGTCAGTTTTCTTATTTGTTCTCACATGACTTCGTCATTCACCTCTCTGAGCTATTTTTTTTCCCTCTGAAAAAAAAGTATAAATTAGGCTAAATCAATGATTTTCTACCTGGGGAACTTTTGAAAAGATTCCTAGGCCCATTCCAAAACTATAATATAAAAATTCCCAGTGATTCTGACAATCCATCAATTTTAAGAATTATTGATCTTTTATAAATCATCTTCAGTCTGAGATAAGCATACCCCATTGGGTACATGAGGAATTTCCAATGCATAATTTTAATGGAATTAGTTTACAAATCCTCAACTTTCATATGTACTTTCTCCTAAAGTTGAACTGCCTGTGTATATGCTTTAGATAATCTCTTTCCCTATATCCTCTTTCACTACCACCCATCTCCTATTTTATAAAAGACTCATACCACGGCATATTGCCTTGAAACATAAAAACCTCTAAGAAGAAAAAAAAAACCTCTAAGAGACAAATTCAGAGGAATAATTCAAAATAATGGCTTTGTTATGGTCTCTGTTAACTCAGGTTCTATAATTCACTTCTAATCCATCTCATTAGAAAATGCATTTCTAATAAAAATTTAATTTTTAGTCAGTGTCAAAATTTATAATAACTTTTTTGATCAGTGTGAATTAATAGTAATTATGATGACCATTCAAAGCAATATGTAACATGTAAAGCCTTAGGGTCACAGAATATCACATTATTTTAAATTCTTGTTTCAGAGAATATGATTGGATCCTCAGTAAAAGACATTGAATAATAAAAAAAAAATACATTAGGATAAAACTGTGTGAGAGAAGTGGAATGGAAATACAATGCAAAAGGAGCATTGTATAATTTCCAATTGTTAAAGATGAGTTTCTGTACTTTTAAAAAGGTTTATTGTTAGGTTTCAAATAATTACATTGGATACATTTAAAAGAGTGATGTCAAAGTTTGTTTTTAAATATAAATATTCACAAAACACTAGAAATGACAGCTGGTAATGTTCAAATGTGGTTTGCAAAATTCCAGACTCCAGTATTACCAAGTATAGAAGGGTGGATTTGGATCCAAGAGACAATAATATCTTAATAACTGGCACAGTATCAATTTAAACTTCTGATGAAAAATTTGAGGTGTCAACTTAAGAATGTGAGGGAGGTGCATCATTTTCCATCATTCTTTGTGAGTAAATGAGAAAAGAAAAGCCTGATTGTACGTAGAGATATTATTGTCCCTACCAGCTCAGAAATTTCAACGCTCTAGTTCCTTTCTTTTTTTTCCCCCTCGCATCTTTCCTTTCTCCGTCATTTATTTTTCCCCCTTGTATTATTTACTTCCAAACCTGTCCATGGTTGCTGTGCATATTAGTCAGCACTACAATTGTCCCTAGGCTTAAAGATATGGGGAACCCACATAAGACACATACTAGGAATGTCTTAGAAGAAGGGAGGGCATACTGGAGAGGAAATAGTGTTATTATATTATAAGGACTAAGTGTGTACCCTTATTTTTGCATAATAAATTACTCAATATTCTCCATAAGGCACCATTGTCTATAAGATGCATCACTGGTTTGAAAACAGTGTTGGGGAATATTTAATGAGCTAACACAATAAATGTCTACATAAGTTGTAAGATATATCCTGATTTTAGAAATGTTAAAATATGAGTAAATGTACACCTTATAATTGAAGAATTAAAGTGTAGTTATCATCTAAAAAGTGAAAGTGTTAGTCACAGTCATGTCAGACTCTTTGTGACCCCATGGACTATAGTCCACCAGTCTCCTCTGTCCATGGAATTCTCCAGGCAAGAATATTGGAGTGCGTTGCCATTTCCTTCTCCAGGGGATCTTCCTGACCCAGGTATCAATCATGGGTCTCCTGCATTGCAGGCAGACTCTTTACTGACTGAGTCACCAGAGAAGACCTGGTTGTCATCTAAGAGATAGGGAAAAGTTACTCTTTGAAAGGTTGTTTGTTAGTATGTTAGAAGAAACTAATTATCATGACACTTTTCCTTTTTCTCCCTATTTCTTCCCAGGAACAGCTGGCAGCTGCCTTCGTCGTTTCAGTACCATGCCTTTCATGTTCTGCAACATCAATAATGTTTGCAACTTTGCTTCAAGAAATGATTATTCTTACTGGCTCTCCACCCCAGAGCCCATGCCAATGAGCATGGAACCCCTGAAGGGCCAGAGCATCCAGCCATTCATTAGTCGGTGAGACATGGGTATACCGTTGACATTTGCTGATCTCCAGTTAGTTTAGCTAGTTAGAAATGAGTCCAAAGATAATAATCTGACCATATTCCTCTCAGGTTAGGTAGAACAGAGGAACCTTTATAATGTTCAATTCAATATGTAGTTTGATCCATATTTATTGGGGATCTTCTTTTGACCAGGACCAGTGATATACTAGTGTAATATACAAAAAAAAATAACCCTCAAAATCTAGTTATTAGGCAACTATACATAAATTAATATGTATCAGGCTTGGGCTCAATGCTGCAATAAATCTAATAAAGTATTAGGAAAGGGATATTTAATTCCAACTGGAGAAATCTGAGATGACTATATGGAAGAAATGTGTTTTGAACTGCTTAGCCCTTTAAGGATGTAAAGGACTTGAGACAGGCATTTATAATGGAGAAGAGCATTCTAGGTAGAGAAAATGGGAATGGATTTGTAGACTGATGTGTCTAGAATATATTACTAGTGTCCAAAGGGTACAGAGGGAGAAGGGATTGGAAAGTTAATTTGGACCCAGTCAGTAGAAGGCTTTCAGTGTCAGGTTTTAGTTTGAAATTTAATTGGTATATAATGGGGACCTCTGAAGTTTTTGAGCTACATTTCAGGGAAGATTACAGGAGCATCAATGTGTAACATGATTCCAGAGGGGATAATCCAGAGGTAGAGAGACCAGGTAGATTAAGCATATTGCTATAGTCCTTGTAGGAGTGGTTTGGAACTCTCAGTGGGGGGTACATGTATCACATTAATAGAATAAATAAGATTTAGCAATTGATTAGTTATGGGAAGGAAAAGTGATAGCTGATACTTGGAGCATGAGTATCTTTTTTCTTTTTCTTTTCTTTTTTTTTTTCCTGAGCATGAGTGTCTTAAGAGGAGGGAGGTACTGGTAACAAAGATTTCCTAGAATGTTGCCACATTAGAACCTGGGTAAAACTCTACCTCCTAAGCATGTTAGGTATTGCCATTTTCATTCTGATCATGACCCAATTGATCTAGGAGTCTAGTAACCATAAAGGATGAATCATTGGAAACTTTAGTTTCTTTGACATTAAATATAAAGGTTAAGCCTAGTTTAGCCACTCTTAATAGCAAATTCATGGAGCCCTTTTCAGTATATTTGCTTCAATCCTTTGGGAATTCATTTTTTTAATGAATGAAATAAAACTATCTTTATTCACAGGTGACATGATAGTCTACATAGAAAATCCTACCCTTTCCCTCACAAATCTAGAAAATATTTTCTAGTACTAACAAGTGAATCTATTAAAGTTGCAGGATATATAACAATTATATTCCTATGATAGAAAAATTATTTGCAATTGCCGCCCAAACATGAAATACCTAGAATAAGATGAACAAAAGCTGTACAAATATTACAAAAATATTTGTAAACTAAAAATCTACAAAACACTGATAAAATTTTTTTTAAAAGAGCTAAGTAACTATAGAGATATACTATATTCAGGGAATGCAATATGCAATATTTTTGACATGTCAATTCTGCCCAAATTGATCCACAGATTCAGTATAATCCTTATCAAAATTCTATAAGGTTTTTATATTTCCTGTAGAAATTGGCAAGCTGATAATAAAAATTATATGGAAAAGCAAAGGGCATAGAGGAGCCCAAATAATTTTGATAGGGAAGAACAGAATCAAAGGACTCACATTTCCTGACGGTGTGAATTACTACAAAACTACAGTAATTAAGATAGTATAAAATTGGTGTTAGGAGAGGCATATAGATTAACATAAAAAACAGGGAATTAAAAAATGGTTTAAAATTCATATCATTAACAGATGAGTACAAAACAGGTATTCAGATAATTTCATAAAGAAGGGATAATCTTTTCAACAAATGGTGCTGAAACTATTGGATAGTCATATGCAGTGAATAAATAAAAAAGATCCATAACCTCACACCTTACATATATACAAAAATCAACTTTAAATGGATCATAGGCCTAAAGGTAAAACCAAAACTATGTTAAGTTTTCAAGGAGAGGGTAGGGTAAAATCTTTATGAGTTTAGTAAAGATCTCCTAGACAGGGACAAGAAGAATAAATCATAAAAAATGATAAATAGGGCTTCTTCTAGGAATTCATTTTTGTGCATGTGATTTTTTTTCAACAGTTCCAACTCTTTGGAGTAAAAGATCCCCTAAAGGCATTCCCTATTTGGTAGATTAACTTTGCCAAATTGGTTTAGTCATATTTCAAAAGGTCCCCTCTTGCTCTTTATTAAAGATTTGGTAGACTTAGCTGCACTTTACTTGATTTTATAGACAAGTACCCAGACACCATATCTCCAAGTGCCTTGGTACTTGTCCAGTGTTCTGCATATGTTGTACTTCTAAAGAGATAGTCAAATGGTTAATAAATATCCCTTGGGCCAAAAATAATGGGCAGGGATTAAGAAAGTGTCTTGTTTCTTGTCTTCTTCAGTTTACCAGACATTGTTCTTAGCACAGTTTCAGTAGTACTGAATGTCTACCCTCAAGTTGGGCACTTTGACAACAAGTAGTATGTGCAATATGCCAAGCCAAACTCTTGCAGCAGTTATGACATTGACTATTGCAAGTATGAATACAAGTTTAGGGCAGGATGGAAAATGAAAATGCCATAGCAGTGGTTCTGTAGTTTCTTTAAAAAAGAAAAAACTTACAGGTTTCATTTATAACTTTATTATGTATATTGGGAGGCTGGGCTTATGCAAAAGCAGTCCTCAAAGTACATTTTTCTCCTCTTTTTCTGAGCACTGTAGACCCCTTGATGGGATTTTATTACAGGAAGGCTTCCAAAGAAGAGGGACTGCTATTTCCTATGTGCTCACTCTGTAGATTGTGTTCCTTCTGTGTTCCTTACCAGATGTGCAGTATGTGAAGCTCCAGCCGTGGTGATTGCAGTCCACAGTCAGACCATCCAGATTCCCCGTTGTCCTCAGGGATGGGATTCTCTCTGGATTGGTTATTCCTTCATGATGGTATGAATCACTCTTCCTTGGCTTTGTCATCCTAGCTAACTGTCCATCATATCTGCATTTCTTCCTAATATGAGGAATCCCTGTCATTTGAGCCTCGTATAGCTTCTATCCAAGTACTGTGTTCCCTTTCATACATTTGCTGGAACAGATTTTCACAATCTATCTGTTTCTTTTGTTGAGAGCCTTTGGTGTGGATACTGTTCTCTTAACTTTGGCTCTATTTACTTCACTGGATTTGAATATTTGGCCAAGGTCATAAGGCAATGGCACCCCACTCCAGTACTCTTGCCTGGAAAATCCCATGAACAGAGGAGCCTGGTAGGCCGCAGTCCATGGGGTCGCAAATAGTCGGACATAACTGAGCGACTTCACTTTCACTTTTCATTTTCATGCATTGGAGAAGGAAATGGCAACCCACTCCAGTGTTCTTGCCTGGAGAATCCCAGGGACGGGGGAGCCTGGTGGGCTGCCGTCTGTGGGATCGCACAGAGTCGGACATGACTGAAGTGACTTAGCAGCAGCAGCAGTAGCAGCAGCACTTATCTTTGGATACTCACTAAGGTTCATGGGTATTGTGGCACATTTTCCCTTGTCTTTTCTAGCACACAAGTGCAGGGGCAGAGGGCTCAGGCCAAGCCCTGGCCTCCCCTGGTTCCTGCTTAGAAGAGTTTCGTTCAGCTCCCTTCATTGAGTGTCATGGGCGGGGGACCTGCAACTATTACGCCAACTCCTACAGCTTTTGGCTGGCGACTGTAGATGTGTCAGACATGTTCAGGTAAGGTGCTTATGGCTTTAGTTTAGGTCGTAAGCTTCCTTCAGAGGTGCTGGAGGAAGAGAGAGGCAGCTTGTGAATGGTTTATACCCAACAAATGTTAGAAATTTAGAGGACCGTGTCCTTTATTCTTACTTGTTTTCCTCATATACCAGACTCAGGTCAGAAAAACATACTTGACTAATAATAGGTGTATGTGGTTTGAGATGTCATGATGATAATTCTTTAAAAGCAAAACAGAGCAGGAAAAGATTATGTGACCTTCTGAATAACACATGAGCAACTGTTCGACTAGACTGAAGCCACCCTAGAAACTGAAGTAATCTGTGTTGCTTCCCCAGTCCAGTAGTCTCTTTCCCAGGATGTTTTCAAGGTTTTCATCCAAGTATTTGAATGAGTAAGGCTACCTGTAATACATGTGCCTGCAGGGGACTTTATTCTATTGGGTATTTTTCAATTTCTATTTTTATATGTTGCTTCTTTTGGGTTATTAACATTTTTCTTATGTATTATCTTTTTGTAACCATTATGTGTTATGTATTATCATCTATTAGTCATCAATTGCCCAGATCCCCCTCATTCTAGGACTGTTAGAAAAATGTATAAGAGAAAGAGAGGGAGAGACAAATAGAAAAGGATGAGAGTGGTGGGGAGGAGAGTCACAAAGATACCTATGACCACTAATGGCTCTTAGGCCATACCAGTCATTGCACTAGATTGCATTGCTCAAAAGTTAACCATTAAGTCAGCTACTTAAACACAATATAATGTTTAAGTATGAATTGAACCAATAATAGAATTAAAATACCAGAAAAGGCTAATTTGATAGTCTTGTTTTTTATTTCCCAGCAAACCTCAATCAGAAACGCTGAAAGCAGGAGACTTGAGGACACGTATTAGCCGATGTCAAGTGTGCATGAAGAGGACATAACATTTTGAAGAATTATTTGTGTGTTTTTAAATGTTATATATATATATATATATATATATATATATATATACACATACATATATATATATATAAAATTCCCAGGATGCAATGTCTCACTCTCCCCAACTTTACCACTGCTGCCACCAATGGTGCTACTATATATGACCAAGAGAACATGCTGACTAATAAATCATGAAGATTCAGATGTACCTCAGCAATGTGCCAGAGCAAAGTCTCTATTATTTTTCTACAAACGAAATGAGGAAATGAATTTACTTTTTTGGGTCCAGAATGACTTTCTCCAAGGATTATAAGATGAAGATTATATATTTTGCCCAGTAACTAAAATGGCACGTTAAAAATTCAATTAAGAGAAGAATCACACTGAGTAAAATAAAAGACTGCAGTTTGGGGGAAGAATTCTTTTTCATGGTGCTACTAATCCTACTGTATCCCAGGTTTTTAATATAAAAGTGTTAAGCTTATTTTGCTCTGTAAGTAAAGAATGTGTATATTGTGTAAACAGCCTTTTATCTCAAAATGTTGAGTCATTTAGAGGTCACCTGACATGAATCACTTTTACAGAAAACTTAGGAAAACCTAGAATACAGACAGCAAGATTTTATATACAGGTTTATCAAAGTGAGAGTTTATATTCTTGCATCGAGTCACTACTGAGAGTAAATTTGAGTTTTTTCCCCTAAGTTCTCATTTGACTTTTTTTTTAAAAAGGTCATTTTTAGTCACTTTAATCAGAATTTTAAATGTACATGTTACATACCAAATTATAATATCTAATGATGCAACTTCTCTTTTGCTGTTTTCTCCAAGACACTCAGCGCTAGATGCCCCCAGCTTTGATGTTTCTTACATCTTGATTTTGCTCATCCCTGACTGGGCAAATTCTCCCATATAATTTTGTGAAACAAAAACATTTATAAAGTTGATGATTCTCTTCCTTGTGCTTTTTACATAAGAATTATTCTCCTGTGGTCTCTGCTTGTTCAAGAACTGGGAAGACAATACTTAATTTGTCTTCTCTTCAATTACAAAGCCAACTGATATTCCTTACTGTTTTATTTTAAACACTGTTATAGTCATAGAACACCTTATTTCCCTAGCTGTCATCTTCTCACTTAATGTTTTTAACTCACCATTGTCAATTTAATTAAAGATATCATATATTAAGGATGATTTGTCGTGTATCTCTTCAGCCTATGTGTAAAAATACTGCTCATTTACAGATAGACCACACTTCTGCACATCACCAAGTAGTCGCCCTTCTCAGAGAACCGTTTAGAGCAGTTCAAAAGCAAAAGAGGTTTCTGCAGACTTGATCACTCTGATACCTGATGGGAAACTTACCAGCTGAGCCACCAGGGAAGCCCAATAGGAGACATAGTAAAGCACTTTCTCCAGTGAAGAGAACAACTCATTGGGAAGTATTTTGAGGTGATAAATTTATTAACAACATTGTGTTGATGGCTAAGAAAGGAAGCAGAACTACTTTTCATTTTGGGAATTCATTAATAATGTTTAAAGCAGATTCAGTTCAGTTCAGTCGCTCAGTCGTGTCCGACTCTTTGCGACCCCATGAATTGCAGCACACCAGGCCCCCCCTGTCCATCACCAACTCCCGGAGTTTACTCAAACTCATGCCCATCGAGTTGGTGATGCCATCCAGCCATCTCATCCTCTGTCGTTCAAGCAGATTAGTGAGTTAATATTCCTATTGATTAAGAATGAACACATGTAGCTCTCTAAAATAGTTGTAGACTTGCCTCTATAATAAAATGTGTGTTACAGCTAAGATATGAAACAACCAAAGGATTTTGAGAATTTTAGACCCTAATGTGAGCTCATGCTCTAAGCTCTAAGGCTTAGAGCCTATAGTGGTAAAACTTAGGTTCTAAACAATGGTAGATAATACTGCTGATTTCCAGTAATGCTGTTGATTTCAAGGCTAATAAATTGCAAATTCTAGCTTTATTTTTCTGTGAGCTACATGCACGAAAACACTAATGGATTATTGTAAGTAAAATGCCATATTACATTCTATGCATTTTTCTACATGCTATACACCTGAAGGTTGCTCCTTGAGTTATAGCTGCAAGCACAGATTCCAGAGATTTTGCTATTTGTAGCTTTCCCTTTCATATTTAGCTGACTGAAAATCTTGGCTCAAAAAGAACCTCCTAGATTTTAATAGTAGCATGTATAGCTGGTCTTTGTGTTTCTTGAATGTCCTAACTATTCCCAACCCTGTTTTGTTGTTTAAAGTGCATGAACGCAATCCATTCCAGAACCTTAATGCTGTTAACTCACCCTTGCCACTGAATATTCTGATTATTCTGATGTAACTGCTCTAGTAGTTACCTATAGTGAATTTTGCAGTCAAACAGTTAATGGTTTTCCCACATAGGCAGGCAATGAATAAACTCTTCTACTTAATCAGATATAGTTATTTCATGTAGCAACCAGGTTTGATTATATGTGTGTGTGTTTATGCCATGTTGCTATCACACTGATTACTTCCAAGCTTCCGAAGTGTTTTTACTGGACCCCTTGTGGATTGTATAGTGTCTTTTTTCACCTGGCCAAATTTGAAAAGCACTTTCTTATGGTGCTAGTGAGGTTCTTTGCCTCAATTGGCATGTATAATCAAAAACTCACTGGTCATGCCAAGCCATCAGAGGTTTATTCATATGTTAATCACTAGAGGGCACTATCGCCTATAAAAATAAATCAACATGGAAATTAATCAGCATGTATTTGTTGAGCTCATTGTTGATGATGGTGGTAGAGCTGTCTAAAGCCCTACCTTTTAGATTCCTTGTTTTGGTTTCACGTATTCTTTCATCTTCATAAAGATCAATAGCAAGTATTTCAAGAGGTGACCCAGTTACCCAATATTTGCATCCAAAATAAGGGACAGCTCTGCTGTCAAAGATTTTCTTAAGAACTTGATTAGGAGTTGGCTCTGGCAGTAATGCCTGTGCCTCTCAACACAGAAGCAAATGTCCTTGCTCCTCTGTGCAATCACTTTTGTTTGGCCAGGATTTCAGTTGGCATCTTTAGCAGAAAAGCTCTGTTCTAGGGCTGGACTATAAAAACATGTTCATCCCTAGGCAGCTCCAACATAAATTGAATAATATTTAAAAATCATATGTCATTTCCATTTTACAGCAGTGGTTTCTAAAGTGTATTTGGGATGTTTGGAAGCTTTTTATGGTAGAAGCACTCATAAGTTGGGACACTGAAGGAAAAAGTCAAGTTGGGCCTGTCTCCCAATTTCCATAACAACAAACATTCATTAGATACTTATTAGCTGTAGGGCCCAGTGATAGACAGCAATCCAAAATCAACTCAACCAGAAAGGTCATCACTTTAATATATACTTCCAAAAAGAGGTATGCTGCTCTATCTTTGACTACTAAATCTTTCTAATTCTAGGCCAAACCAGAACAGATCCTAAGGCTTTTTGCTGACTGGAGCAAGCTGACTCACCAGTCCATCCTCTAATACATGGACAGACTAAATCACATTTGATGTGAAAGTATTGGTCACTCGGTCGTGTCCGACTCTTTGTAACCCCATGGACTGTAGCCCGCCAGGCTCCTCTGTTCATGGGATTCTCCAGGTGAGAACACTGGAGTGGGTAGCCATTTATGTAACTGTAATTCTCTATTTTTTTATGAGTAGACAGCATGCCCAACACCTGACTCCATAGGTGTCAGATATCTTCATTTATGCCAGATATCTTCTGTTTTCCTCCTCCAGATTCACATTGCATTCTTCACCCTACTTTTTGCCCCCAAAGGTTCCTGTGCTCTCTGACTTCTTTTTGGGGTCAACCAATGGGATTCCCCAATAAGATAGAGTGACGGCCAAGGCTGAGCTTATGGTATTTATTTTTATGAGGCCTCTAGGGTCACCTCAGATTGGCTTGTATTTCTCAATGAATGTCTCTGCTCCTCTCAAGATGACCTGTTCTTAATTATCTCCCCCTCTGCTTTTAGTAACATCTCTTACCCCTTCAGGTCTCTGTGATGAGAAGTCTGCTGCTCCTGGGCTGCTCACCCTGGATTCCTGTATTTTGTGGTTTCCCGACAGACTATATCTTTCTAAACTCTCCTCAGACTGGTCCAAACATAAATATATTATCTGTTATTGATAACCTGATGAATGCACAACCACTTCTCATTTCCAAAATCTGTGGGAGGTGCTTCATTCTATGGGTGGCAAAATGAGGCTGAATTGATAAAGCCGACATGCATGATTAGCATCTTTCCACGTCGTGCTGAGGGATAAGCCAGAAGAAATAACTTAATATCACCTAATCTAAGACCTATTTACTAAGCTTTATTGGAAGCTGTGTTCCAAGGTCTTAGGGTGAAACGAGGCAAAAATATATGCATTATGATCTTCAACTATATGCCTTTTTTCAAATATTGTCTCACTGTGTCTCTAAAGAATTCATCTTGACTCCCCCCACCCAGGTGGTCATTTGGTTTGCTTCATGCCACACCAAATGAAGAATCTCAGTTGGCAGACTAGATGCTAAGCACTGACAACTTGATTCCTGAAAGCTCCTGAAAGAAAACTCCTAGTAGTACTACTTCCACCCAAGAGATCTGCCAAGTCCGGTGTACATGCCTGCTGTTAGTTAAAAAGTCCCTAGGTGTTACTAAGCCAAGAAATAGACAACTTAAGTCACCTAAAATAAGTGGTTTTCTAACTTCGAAGTTGGTGGTTTAGTTGCTAAGTCACGTCTGATTCTTGTGACTGCATGGACTGTAGCCCGTTAGGCCCCTCTGTTCATGGGATTTTCCAGCAAGAATACTGGAGTCATCATTGAATGTACAGGAGTGAAGACTTAGGCTGGGGATTATGGAAGATGAGACAGCCTCTAAAACCAAAGGCAGTCTGAGACTACCTACAAATTTCAACCAGGGCCGCATAGAGCCTGCCAAGAAGTGATGATACTTTCATTTAAAGTG